AGGAGAGGGGGGCACAAATAAATACTTTTCTTTCTTATTCTCATTTAAAATATCTAGCTTTTAAAAAATAATTATCTGAATCTTACAACAAACGATTGATAGATTGATACATATATACCATCAAGACAGTGTACATCACTGTCACAACAGTGTTTGTTTTCATTCAAAGGCTTTATGAGTTTTCCTATAATGGTGGGCCGGTCAGTCAAAATGCCCGGGCCGATTTTTTGTCCCAGTCCAGCCCTGTATGCAGCTCATCTGCAGTCAGGTGTTACCTACATCTTCCTATTCAGAAGGCAGAATTTCTGAGTTCTGAGTACAATCGAAAGCACCACGTCTGCAGTTTTTGTCTTGGATGTAAAAAGCGCAGATGACGCTGTGATGTAGGCTAGAATCATGGCAGCGGTCAGCGACGGTCCAGGTGTGGGATTTCTCTCGTGGAAATATGCACATTATCTTTTTCTTTCTATTGGTAGGTGGCACAGTGCACTTGTGGCAAGTAAGCAAGCTAGAAGACTAGCAATCTGGCTGGGCATCCAGTTACGGAAGCAACACATTAACAAGAGAATTCTGAGTAAAACCAAAGTTACTTTCTCTAGTAACTAGTTACTTTGAAAGTAACAAGTTACTTAAAGTAACTGAGTTACTTTTGATAGAAGCAACTAGTAATGTAACTAAGTTACTAATTTAAAGTAACTTACCCAACACTGAATAGGACACAGAGGTTTTAAAGGCTCAAATATAACAGAAGAGTCTAAGAAGCTCATATGCTGCCTATTTTCTGGAATCATATGGTTGGGGGCAATAATTAAAGCTTATTTTTAATTAGAGTTTAGCTAGTTAGGCAATTACTTAAACTCAGTTATACACAATTATAAAACTCAGAGACTTTAAAAGAACAGTATAACTGAAAGTCATCAGCATAGAGATGATAGAAGATATTATTGTAGCCCCTAATAATTTGGCCTAGGGGGAATATATAGAGTAAAAAGAGAATTGATCCCTGAGGTACCCCACAAGGCAGAACTCTTCATTTGGACATCACTTGATTCATACAAACAGTAAAAGATCTTTCAGATATATATAACAGGAACCATTTTAAAACAATACCAGTAATCCCAAACAAGTTCTTGAGCCTGTGTAGCGACTTCCACAGTCGCTAGAGGCTGGGGATGGAGTCTGCCTCTTTGCCTGACGCGCTGTCAACTTTACGCAATAATGCGAGAGGTGGAATTGTTTGCTTATTTATTAAAGTGCTTTGAGAGTTTACAGAGTAATGTGATCATCTCGCAATTTGGACTCTAACAACGTCACAGGCTCTAATGTAACAAGGTGAAACATGTTGTGCAGCGGTCAACTAAAACTACGGCTACCCAGCCCTCCTCTCTGTCAAAATCAAAACCAGTGAATGACAGACTGACAACGCCCTCTTAATGTCACCGCTAGCACCCACGTGACTCCCATTACACATCACCATAGCAACCAAACAAATAAAAACCCAGTGGTCGTCAAAATTCAATATATTCAATTATGGCTCCTACAGCCTGTTTATCAGGATACTGTGATCTACAGTATCAAAGGCAGAGTTGAGATGCAACAGAACCAGAAATGTGTATTTGGAGTCTGAGATATTACTAGATACTTTAAGTCAGTGTGATTTGTGAAATCCAGACTGGAAAACATCCATGACATAATTTTTCTCAAGGAAATAGTTAAAGTTGTTCTGCTACTATTTAAAATCTTTGATACAATTTGGATAGTGGCCTGTAACTATTTGAAAGGGAGTGATCCAAATTAGGTTTCTTTAATAGTGGCTCAACAACAGCTTGTTTAAAGAAGCTGGGAACCGAACCAGTACGAAGAGAAATATTTATCATTTCCGTAATACATGGGCGAAGGAGTCAAACACACTAATGAAAAAAAGATACATACATAGAAGATGATTGAGAGATATTTGACGTAATGGCAGTGACCTTAATTGTGAAATAATTCAAAAACGAATTACAATCAGATGTTGAGTAAACTGGTGCATGAGGATCATCAGGAAAAACAATAGTCTTGTGTTAAGCAAGAATTTAGGATTTTTCTTTGTTGAAGCTATAAGGTGTGCAAAATACACTGTTCTGGTATTTTTTCACGTCATTTAGATTCTTTAATCTGTAACCTATGAACCTCAAGCTTGGAAGCCTTCCACAAATGCTCTAGCTTGCCACAGTATCTCCTAAAATTACAAATATTTTCATTTATCCAAGGACGAGAATTCAAACAGAGCACAGTACTTTTTTTCAGAGGTGCCTTTCATGGTCCTGGGTCGGTGACCCAGTGTTTTTGGTTTTTGTACTTTTACTTTTGATTTTAATATGAATTATGACTGTTTGTGTTTTTGTTTCTGTCCTAGTATTTCTTGCTCCCTAGTTTTGTAGTATTTCCTGAGTTCGGGTTTTTAGGTTTTGTTATTTGGTTTCCCAGTATTTATTCTGTGCTTCTGTGTCAACCCTGCCTGTGTATCCCCTCTAGTTTAGTCAGGTCACTGTGTAGAGCCTGCATCTCTGAGTTTGTCCTCACGTGTGTTTTGAGTTTCCTGTTTTGTTGTGAAGGTCTCTGTCTCATGTCAGTGTGTTTAGTTTGCATTTCCTCTGTCTCATCATATGTGATTACTCCCAGCTGTGCCCTCCTTCTTTGTCTCATTCCCTCGTTATCCCTCTGTGTATTTAACCCTTGTATGGTGTTTGGGTCTGTGAGACCCGTTTTAAGTTTTTTTCAAAAGAAAAATAAAACAGTTAATTATTTTTTCAACCTGAAATTCATTGGCTTTGGCTTATTTTCTGTGAAGAACATAAATCCGAACAAATTTTCAATGACCTCCCCCCACGCATTTACATTACATACAAGGTGTTCGGGTCCACTGGACCCAGGTCTAAAAAAAGTGTTGAAAGTGTAGATCCTGTGTTCCCATACTCTGTCTTCCTCCTTTCTGGCGCTGCTGATAGTGTTTTCTTCCCCTCCTGCTCCCGCACAAAGTTGCAACATTGTTGAACATTCAACTATCAACACCGTCTGCTCTTAGATTCCCGCACATTTTACCCTCTTTCTTGGGGGATCCAAATTTCATTTTCTCATACCCTGTCCCACCCGCAAATTAGGGGAATAATACTATAAAAGAGACTTTGCCAGTGTGGTTCTTTATCACAACTGATCAAGATGGCAAACGATTATCTGCTGCGAGGACCTTGCAATTGATTTTGGAAGAGAGAGGAACTTCGGATGATAATGTCGACGAAGAGGTTTCAGAATATTTCACATTTCTGAAAATTCAGAGTCTGACAGTGACTTTGAAGAAGAGGATGAGGTTGAGCACCATTTAGTAACAAAACGAAGACGAGTACCCCATCAGCAGCCAGCTCCAGGACCAGAACAAGCCCACCAGACAGCAAGTGAAGAAATATGGATGTCAAAAAATGGTGAAATTGAATTGTCTTCTTGCCCAAGAAACGAGCCACTCTGCAGAGCTGCTAATGTGATAAGCCAGGGCCAACACGGCTGGCAGTTACTCATGTGCAGAACATTAAGTCTTCATTTGAGCTTTTCATCCCAGATTCAATCCAGAAAATTATTCTGAATTGCAGTAATCTAGAAGGAAGGTGTGTTTTTGGAGAGAGGTGGAAGGAGATGGACCAAATTGATCTAAGAACCCCAAAGGCCTACTTATCTTTGCAGGAGTTTTCAGGTCCAAAGGGGAATCCACAGAATCCCTGTGGGATGCAGAAACAGGCAAGAACCTTTCCGTGCATCAATGTCTCTGGAAAACTTCCACAAAATTTCCAGGATTATCCGTTTTGATAACCGAGATGACAGACCAGCTCAATGGCGGAGAGACAAGCTAGCTGCCATCAGGACAGTATGGGATAAGTGAGTGCACCGCCTTCTCCTGTTTTACAACCCTGGACCTAATGTCACCATTGATGAGCAGCTGATGCCATTTAGTTGTGAAACATATTGCTTCACGTTTAAATGTGTTGTGTCTTTCCACTCACTCCACTTGATTATAACTGATTTAATTTTTTGTTATAACGTTTTATAATAAAAAAAAAGAGAAGCACATTAATTCATAAATGTGATCTAACAAAGGTAAAGGGAAAAAAATTACCATGTTTGCTGTTCATATGACTTGTAATTGGGGTGAAGTAAGCATCTGTCGAGTAATTTAACATAAAATTGTTTGATAGTGTTAATTTGGAAAGCCAAAACTCTAGCGGGTCTACCAGACCGATGAACACTGGCTGAGTAACAAAAATACGAACACCACACAAGGGTTAAGCCTTGTGTATGCCTCTGTTAAGCTGCTGGTTCATTTGCGTATCTCCCTCCGTCATCCTGTGTGGGCTCCCAGTGTCTTTCTGCATCTCCCTGCATCTCTGTTTCATGTTTCAAGAGTTGAGGTTTGTTTTTGCTTAGTTTTCCCAGTTTAGGTTTTCTCAGTTCTGCTTTTGGCCCCCTTGAACTTTTCCACATTTTGTCACATTACAGCCACAAACATGAATCAATTTTATTGGTTTCACATTCCACATGAAAGACCAATACAAAGTTGTGTATACGTGAGAAGTGGAACGAAAATCATACATGATTCCAAACTTTTTCTAAAAATAAATAACTGAAAAGTGAGGTGTGTGTAATTATTCAGCCCCCTGAGTCAATACTTTGTAGAACCACCCTTTGCTGCAATTACAGCTGCCAGTCTTTTAAGGTATGTCTCTACCAGCTTTGCACATCTAGAGACTGAGATTCTTGCCTATTCTTCTTTGAAAAACAGCTCCAGCTCAGTCAGATTAGATGGACAGCATTTGTGACCAGCAGTTTTCAGATCTTGCCACAGATTCTCAATTGGATTTAGATCTGGACTTTGACTGGGCCATTCTAACACATGGATGTGTTTTGTTTTAAACCATTCCATTGTTACCCTTGCTTTATGTTTAGGGTCATTGTCCGGCTGGATGGTGAACCTCCGCCCCAATCTCAAGTATTTTGCAGACTCCAAGAGGTTCTCTCCCAAGATTGCCCATATTTGGCTCCATCCATCATCCCATCAACTCTGACCAGCTTCCCTGTCCCTGCTGAAGAGA